ACAATGATAATAAACTAATAAAAACATACCTCATCCATTATCATATCCTTAACCTTCATAAAAGTATCACCGATAATTTTACGCTTCAATTCAGGTTGAGTGACACGCAGCAGTGATTCTGATTTCTTACCGTTTATAGTAACAGAACCATTTATGAACGAGTAGTATGCGTTGTATCCTTCAATTAATTCATAATAGCAATTAGCAGTAATGCCATCAAACAATAATAATGAATAGTGACATTAAAATAACAAACTCTTGACATTCAAGTTGATCTTGTTCAGTGCATCGATGACACGATTGCTCTCGTTGTATCGCATAAAGCCGTTATCGATATGAATCGCGATCACTTTCTCTGGTCCAAGAGCCTTACGCATCAATGCTGCACATACCGTTGAATCTACTCCACCCGATACCATCACCTTTAATCGTCAAAAAATTCATAATAAGAACTAAACCAATTCCATAATCACTCAACGATACTGTCAGCGTTCAGCGCGGCCTCTATCATCTTCCTTCATGATATTTTTTGTATCGTTCTCAATTTTTTTGTTTTTGTAAAGAATTGCATCTCGGTTATTTTATTGCAATATGAATCCCAAACCCCCCCCCCCTTAAAGAGACTCCTAGGTATTCTGTCTCTATCCTTCGTTTATGGTATAGATATCTGCTTGTGCAGTTAGGATATCTGGTAAATGCAATGAACGATCGATCCTCAATCACACCAGCATCAAATCTCGAAGTGAATAACAACTCACCAAAACCTTCTTGTCCTTCACAACACTCTTAATTTCATCGATACACAACTGCTCTCTGTTACCCATCGTGAAGTCAGCGTTACAGCCCGCTATACCAAACAAAAACGACTCGAACATCTCACGTCCATTCAATGTCAAATCCACTTCTGGATGGAACTGCACTCCGTATAGTTTACGCGATTCATCCGCGATGGCTTAAATCACATATTAACTCAACTTTGCTCATTACAGTCATATTCATACATCCAGATACATCATTTCAACATGAAAATAATGACAATAACAACAATAACAATCCTAATAATAATCCTA